ACTGTCAGTGGAGGGACAGTAATCTCTCAGATTTCATAAAAAATATCTTCATTTGTGTTCTGAATGTGAAAAAAAGTTTTACGACATGAGGGTTAGCGAATGATGACAGAATCAGCATTTTTAGTTCAACTATCCCTGTAAAATGCTTAAAATACATTATTCATGTCACGAATTCGGTTCATGGACTTCCGTTTATTCACCACCAGATGTCACACTTTCCATTACATTGACTCTCGCACTACACAAACTGTTGCATAGCACCCCGGACTACATTTCCCATCATTCTTTGCACAATTTGCACACTGCCCTGATTGCACTCATTGCACACAGCTGTTTCTAATTACCTCATTCACTATATAACACCCACTCTAACCACCTTTCTCTGCTGAGTATTGTTTAGCCTGTACCCCTTTCCGAGTCTCCGTGTTTTCCTTTCCTTGCCTTGCCCGGTTTTGCCTGTTTTTGATCTTTGCCTGTTTTCCTGGTTTTTTCCCTCTCGTCTCGCCCCTGTGATTCTGTCTGCCGATCGGTGACCTACGCTAGCCCTAGGACTATTCTTGTGTTTTGCCCGCCATATACCTGTTTGCCAGTGTTTTGACCCTGCCTGTTTACCACGTCTCTCTATTAAAAGCTTGCAGATGGATCCACACGTCTCACGTCTCGTCAGCACCGTTACAATTCATTAAAAACCACATATATTAAAGAAGTATGAAAATAAACATTGAAATCCCTCTGCCCATAAAATCTTTTATTTAAACAATATCATAAGAATGTTGTTCTGAATATTCAGTATCACAGCACAACTGCTAGTGTGATATTGCTTTAATAAAATTGTTCAATAAACAATAAATACTGAACAACTTACATTTATGACAGAATTGGCCAGTTGGTTTGTGTTTCTTTCTTCCACACAGCAATCAAAGTAGAACGTTCAGCGTCGCATTTTCCACTGCCATGTTGTTGGTCTGATGGAGAACATAGTTGAGATACAAACAGATGTGAATAAACTTTCAGTCCATTTAGTAGGCAAGTTTAACTGTAACATTTCTAATCGAAATAATGAGATCTTACTGACATGTAAGGAGCAAGACAACTGGGGAAGTTTCAGTGAATGGTGTTTATTGAGCAAGTTGTATGCTGAAATAAGACGAGGAGTGAGTAGAACACAATAACATCAATGACAAATAAAATAAGCTGACTTTTCTTGCAGGAATCCACAGAAGCAGATGTGTGAGGGTCCAACTCAGCCTAAACAAGAGTTCAGCTCAAACCCTAATTAAACACACTCAAAGGTTCACTCAGTCAATGTCATATAAATGATTTGTAATGACTGTTAAACTGAAAAAAATAAAATTGTGAAAAGGGGTAATTTGAGTGAAATTTTTGGTACATCTACTAAAATGGCTTTCTACTTTATTTTACACAGTGTTTTGCACTTCCTCAGTTAAATAAGAAACCTGCAAATCCTAAGAAAAAGCACAAATGCTCTGACTTTCCTAATTCTTTTGCTGCTTTGTGAACTCTATGAAATTGAAACGCACTTTTAATTAAAGGAAACTAGTTTGATTAAATACAAACAATCAGTGATACCAGAGGCTGAAATACAAATATAGTTAACAACATACAGTAAGACAGATGATGATGTTTATGAGCTGATCTCCTCATTATTGAACACAAACCCTAAAATGAGAAGTGGCTCTGACAAGGACCTGAAAGAAGACTCCCAAAACTAAATTAAACAATATACAAGGCAATACGACACAACACAACACATGATCTTACCTGGATCAGACTGTGGCTTGAAGATGTTCTTCAGTAGATGATGGTGTCTGTGAGCTGATGGTCGTTCTTTTATAGTCTGAATTCACTCCGGAAACAGCGGCAAACGGAGAGTGATTCTGTCAGATAATGAGCTGAAAGAAAGAACAAACAATACATTAACCTTGCTTAATGTTTAATGCACATGCAACCACAACTTCAAAATGTAAAACCATTACATGACATCAAAAAATTTAACCAAAGGATCTGTGTACAACTTGAGGGCTGCAGAAGTCTCCAGGTCGTCATTGTAGAAAAATTAGATGCCATTCCAGTTAACGAGGAGCAGAGACCAGAACCTGAGATCGGATCTGCAACCTGCATCTTAGGCAACTATGTATTAAAAGGTTTTCAACTGACTTGGAGAGGTCAAGCAGCATGGAGATAAAAACCTGCCCTGGGGAACTATACGCATCGCAAAACTAAGATGGCCTAGCAAAGAGAGCAAATAACTTTTGAAAAAGGATACGGACTCCTGGGCATTTCTCATGACTTCTCTAATGCGATTTAATTTCTCAAAGGGCAGCGAGGCTTGCATAAGGTTGGAATCTAGGATGATGCCTAAGCATTCAAGAACTTTAACGGGCCTAACGTTTTCTCCTCAGAAAGAGGAACACCTAAACCGTCGAAGGTGTGCTTAAAGTGCCAAGATGCAGCGGTCTGGCTTTGCATTTGGATAATACACTAGCAGAAAACCATTTAAAAGGTGAAGCACATGCGGCAATTTGCAGTTATTAAGAAAAATCCAACACAGTGCCTCTGAGAGTGTATCAAATATTTTTGGACTACTGTGACAGTCAAAGGTGAGCGTAACTGAAAAATACACGTTTTTCCTCCATTTATCACCAAATAAATGACACTGTGATGGATGTAAAGGCGTAATTTTAAAGGCGTCTGAGATGTCTGCCTTTGCGAGCCATGCGCCCCTTCCTGCTTGTTTAATAAATTTAATTGTGTCGTCGACGCTGGCATAAAACAGAGAAAAATGAGCTAAAAAAATAAGACTATTGATACTTTGAGCTGTGTCATTATGAGGGGCAGACAGGTCAATAATTAAATGCCTTTTCCCCGAATATTTACGAGTAGTGATTCCTATAGGATTAATTCGATAATTTGGAAATCTCAGCATCCTTCCCAGCCTGGAAACGTTGACTTGGGGTTGATGGTTTTATTTCTTTTTCCTCCTTTTTTAAAAAAACGGGTTAGTCTCGGGCACACAGATTTTGGATGACCGTCCCTGCAGTTACTACAAGCATGAACATATTTATAATTATAGAACTTATAAATATTTTCATTGAAATTGTAGCACATTGGAGTGGCAATAAGTATCACCTTAGAGTAAACAGGTTGAAAGCTTAGTGCCAGGCTTAGTTTGGAGAGACACAGATATGGGGCACAGATTGGGAGTATGTGTGAGAGCCGGAGATGGAGCAGGAGAGAGCTTGGTGACCAGTAAAGTGTCTGCTGATGAGAGTTATGTTGACTACAGAGCAGTCTAGTCTTTGATTAAATCGCTGAATGAACATGGCAGCTTTTGCAGAGAAGGATTCATGACACTCATAGAAGAGAGTTCCTCCATATGTCAAAGCCAGGTCAGAAATGATGGCTAGATAAGTGTCCAGCTCTGCCTAAGGCACACCTGTGCAATAATCATGCTGTCTAATCAGCATCTTGATATGCCACACCTGTGAGGTGGATGGATTATCTCGGCAAAGGAGAAGTGCTCACTAACACAGATTTAGACAGATTTGTGAACAATATTTGAGAGAAATAGGCCTTTTGTGTACATAGAAAAAGTCTTAGATCTTTGAGTTCAGCTCATGAAAAATGGGGGCAAAAACAAAAGTGTATAATTTTGTTCAGTATAATATTATATAATCATTATATATGGATCAGTGGTCTCATTAGTAATATGGCGCCAACTACAAACGCAGTTAAAAGTTAAGGTGATGAGTAGACCGAAGTTGGGCTCAGCTTGTTGTGCTGTGGGATGCAACCTGACCTCTGGAACAAACACCTTGTCAAAAATAAAAATGTTTCGGTTTCCTAAAGACCAGACGAGACGGCAAGCATGGATAACCGCTGTGCGAGGAGAGGCTTGGCTGCCAGGTAAGAATTCAAGGATCTGTAACACTCACTTCGTTACAGGTAACAAACTCATGATAAGCGACAGATATTAGCTAGCTGACCAGTAACAAGTCTGCAATAGTTATGAATTAGCTACATTTATTGGTACACACGTAGCTAACATTATATACATTATTTTTACACATTAACGTTACCTCAATGTAGTAGTTAATTCACTACGATTGGAACTATAACACAGTATTTAACAGTCGCCTTTGGCTTGCTCCCTGGGGACATAACAAATACAATAACGCATAGCTTTTCTAATGAAGCTTTAAATGAATTACTAAACAAGTACTTTTACTACATTTTCACTGATGAATTTACTACATTATCACTGATACATTTTATCTGTAAAGCTGCTTTGTAACAATGTGCATTGTGAAAAGTACTACAAATAAATTTGACTGATCTAATTTCATTGTAATAGTAGGCTACTCATATGTTTTAATCATTTTTAAGCAATATCATAGAATGAATTTTTTACACAAAAATGTGACAAGCACACTCATTTTTACACTGGTCTACCATCTATTTCTGTGTTTTTCACCCTCCTCACTTACCTGACATCAATATGGAATGCATCATCAACCATACTTACCCTTCCCGAGCAGTTTCTTGTGGTCCTGATGAAGCTTCGTCTAGGCTTAACTCATCAAGACCTAGCTTTTCGCTTCAAAGTGAGTTGTGGAACTGTCTCAAACATCTTTCATGAATGGCTCGATGTGATGGCTAAAGAATTACAATGCCTTGTCCGGTGGCCATCCAGAAAAGAAATCGGAAGAAATCTCCCCACCCTCTTCAAGACTACAGGTTTCCAAAAAGTTAGATGTATAATAGACTGTACTGAAGTGTTCACTGAGAGGCCAACTAGTTTGCAAGCATGAGCAATCCCATACTCCCACTACAAATCACATAATACTGTGAAGTTCCTTGTTGGTATTAGTCCAACAGGAGCTACTACATTTTTATCAAAAGTCTGGGGTGGTCGTGCTAGCGACAAAGTTGTTCTGGGTTGATTGACCTTCTTGAACAAGGAGACCATGTAATGGCTGATAGAGGCTTAAATTTTCCTGAATATTTTGCCAACAAATGTGTCCGTCTTCATGTACCAGCATCTACAAAGGGAAGAAAACAATTGACAGGATTAGAGGTGAAAAATGTCATGAGTGAGAATTGAAGTCATTCAGAGTTCTGCGGAACACCCTGCCAGACAGTATGTTTGGTCAAACGGAGAAATGATGAAACCGTCTTTGCACAATAGATAAAATATTAATTGTTTGTGCAGCACTTTCAAATTTGGGGAAACCACTTGTACCAAAATAAAGTAGGACTGAACCACAACTTAATTTGATACAAGATAACTTTTTTTTATGACATATTTTAAAATGTCAAAAACATGCATTATAATATTTGTAGTGTTGCACTTGTATCAAAATGTTTCACATGGATTGTAAATAAAAAAAAGTATACACCCTTTTTCTTGCTAGACTGATTTTAGATCAGCACTACTGAGCTGCTTTTGAAACCATTTTCATGTAGCTGTCACTCAACTGCAGTCTTCCCTCTACAAATTCATCCACAACTTTTGGCGGCATGTGTTTAAAGTAAAAGCTACGTAGCCTTTGCATATACTGTATGTATTGACAAAACCCTTGTCATAAGGCACATCAAGCTCCAGGTGCTGTATTGGGGTCCAAATAGCAAGACATGATGTTTTCAGCCCGAGACAGTGCATCCCTAACTGTACTTGCCTGTAGTAACCTCTGAGGCCTTTTGGGTTCAAAATGTACCCAAATAGCAAAACATGATGTTTTCAGCCCGAGACAGTGCATCCCTAACTGTACTTGCCTGTAGTAACCTCTGGGGCCTTTTGGGTTCAAAATGTACTGCCCCCCCTCCACTCTGATGTCTTGGTTTGTTGCAGTGAGTGCATCATGAAGGGATGTGCAAGCACTGAGTGTGATGGGGCATTTTACTTCTAGCAGCTTGTTATCAGTGATACCATCAGGGCTTGCTGCCATCCATGGGTCTCCTGCACACACCACTGTCCATCACTATGCAGCCCCTCTCCTTAATCTGCTCCTTTGCAAGTCCCTCGCTTTCTTTCCCATACCTTGTGGCCACACTTCTCTGGAACTTTGGGTAGAGGTGTTCATTGAAAAACTTAACGGGGTCAGTTGTCTCACGCTGAGGCACCTTGCTGGCTGTGCTTGCTGTTATGCGCAGCTTGCGTGCATCATGCCAGAGTGGTTCTATGCTCTGTTTTCTTGTGTTTCTCTCTAGTTCCACCACTTGATCTGGGTTCAGTTTAATGAAGGCATCATACAATGTTGCACACTTAGGACAGCTCAGAGCACTACCATGTTCACTGTGGGGCTGAGCTGCGGAACACATTGAATTCCTCTCCCTGAGCATCCTACTCTCCCTGACTACTGGTGAAAGTTGCACTTGTATCAAAATGTTTCACATGGATTGTAAATAAAAAAAAATGTATTATATATTTAGTAATGAACACTAACAAATACTGATTTATTGACTGATGAACAAAGTACTGTAGCATATGATTTCTGCTGTTTTTAATGTATTTCTGGTGAAATCCTGACTACCTGACTCAGAGGCTGTGTCTGTCTCACTGCTGTCACACATGACAGAAAAGAGAGCGCAGTCTGGCACAACTTCCTAAAAGAAATGGTGAAAAGACCTTACCTACACTGCCATATATATAGTACTGAATCTTTTATATTAGACCAACTGGTTGAATTGTTAGAGATATATGAAATGTAACTTACTTTCAGGGCTTTAAAAAGCTTTTTTGGTGACCCATCTGGATTTAGAGAGGGAAGGCAGAGGGGAGCTGGTAGCTTGATCTTTTTGCCAGGTTTCAAGAAATCGCACTGAGCTACTGGTTGTGGATCGGCCTAAAAGGATATTTGAAATCAATATTATATATAAATGTACATTATGAAAACAATAATTATTAAGGAAAATAGCCATGATATATATAATGTTGTACAAAATACCACCAATTTCACACTGAAATGTGAAAAGACCAGGATATAATTATTTAATATATTAAATATAATAATTGCAAAAAAAGCTCCCCTTCTTAGTCACCCGTGACCAAACAGATGGGCCCCTCTGGAGTCCATCCTGGACACACTGCTCCACAGTAACCAAAATCGTACCCACATGACTACACACCTCTCCATTGCTGCACAGATCCAGATAGACATTTTATTGAAAAAAGTTATCTAAATGCTACTGTAAACTGTAACGTTAGCTGTATTGTTTAGTTAGCCAGCCATTCTTACCCTGCCATGCAGGTACAATGCCCACTCTGGACTTCGCCGGACTTCCTCGCAATGATCCAGGTGGAGTAGCTCTTTGAAAGCGTCTGACCTGCCTCGATTTCCCCGTAAACAACACAGGTATTTCCATTTGTGTAGGTTAGAATGCGTTTAACTTTGCCTCCCTTGTATATACACATTCCTTCTCGACTAGGTATTCAAAGATGTGTACCTGACTGACCTCCGGTAAATCAGACAGGTCTGTAGAAAAACATTCTTGCCTCAACATTTTGTTGAAGGGCTCTGGTAGTGTAACTTTGTCGCATTTAAGTTTGGCCAAATAACGGTTCTTTTCTTCTACTGGTAACCCAAAATAATAATGACAAGACATAGTTTTGACTTGCTAGCTGATTTACTTATTTATTTAGCTTATTATTAGAAATAATCTACTCTAGAGGGACTTTGCTGTTGTTGTTATTGATTGTTTGTGGAAGTCTACCGGAAGTTAAGTTAGGGCCACAAAACCGCGCATGCGCAGTAACGTTTGTTTATGTTGTTACCGTTGAAACCGTCTATAGAGTGGTGGAACTATGATGTCACTTTGTAGGCAAAAACCCAGAAGTGAGTTAGCATTTTAGCACTTCCGGTTCCATCGTCTCGTTTTGTTTGAATGGGAGTGTTGTTAAATCCCCTAAAATAAGGTCCGTGGTTCACACAAGCTCAAGATACTTCCATGTTTTATTCTACGACATAAAACACACCAGTTACACCCCACTCATGATTTTTCAAAACTGTTACGTTTATTAAGAAAGACGGTTGCTAACAAGTTTGCTAAATGGGACTACAGGCTCTGTTGGAGACATTAAACTTCATAACGCTGAACAGTTTAATCAATTTACTGTATTTTCCAATTGTAGTATAATTTATAGTACAATTAATTGTAGAATAATCAATTAATATTTTTATATTTATATTGTTGTTCGACAATGGTTTTTTGCTTTGCCCCGAAATGCAACACAAGTCTTCGGATGTAAGATGCTCGTTTTATCGCTTTCCTACTGATACGGAGACTCATGTCCATGTAAACACCACATTTACCGGCTTAGTAACGGTTAAAGTGAAACTTTATGCATCGTTAAAGTTTCACTTGAACCGTTACTAAGCTGGCTAACATAAGACCAGTGGCCCACCGGTGACAAAGTCGGCGGCCCACCGGTGTTTTGCTCATCGTTATTCCAGTGGACCACCAGCGGCCGCCGCCGCTTTTCTGACAGCAGTCCGCTGACGAGCTGCTGGTTTATAATTACTGTTTGCTGGCGGTCCACGGTTGGTCCATGGTTCATACTCAGTTCGAGTACGCTAACCAAAATGTCCTTGCACACAATAATGGATCAAAAACAATGTACAATCACAATTGTAAATTTATTTTCAGTGAACAGATTAAATATACAAATGCATTTACAGTATATTTATCAGATGGTTTAATCCAATGTGACTTTCAAATAGAAGCATTCAGTTTTCGTACAAAAGTCAACCACAAAATCAACCATGGTGTTACTACAGTACAATAGCCAACCATTGTTTAACTATGATTGTTGTAGTAAATCCACAGTAACTACCATAACCATGGTCTTACTACAGCATAGCAGTAAACTATAGTAACTACAAATTTTACCATGGTTTCTAAAACTATGCTTACCACAGTTTTACACCAGCATTACTAAAATATTACTATAGTAGAACCATGATATCAAAACCTTAGTTTGAGAAAAAAATAACTGATTACTACAGTCATGTTTACTAGTTTTACCATAGTAAAAACATGATTAACTCTAGTAAGAGTACAGTGCTTTTCACAATCAAAGCAGCTTTAGAAAATGCATGTTTCAAGGTTACAATCAAAAAATATCCTTTAAACAGCCAGAGGTGACTGTTACTCACTTACTTACTTACAGCATCTTCTAGGAGCAAATTAAAGGGGTCATATGATGCGATTTCAAGTTTTCCTTTCTCTTTGGAGTGTTACAAGCTGATTGTGCATAGATAAGATCCCTGAAATTGTAAAGACTAAAGTCTCAAATCCAAAGAGATATTCTTTATCAAAGTTAAGACTCTGCCACACCCCCCTAAAACGGCTCGTTCTAACACGCCCCCACATATCTACCTCACTATGTGGAAATATTAGCATAATGCTGCCCAAATGTGCACGCAAAGAAAGAAGGCGCGGTTTCAGTGCAGATTATCTTGATGGGAAAAAAGCCTGTAAGTTTCTTGAACTATGATTGAACACAGAGCTTATTTTTTGCAATAATCCAAAAGCCTATGGAAAAATCCTATTGGCTTTTTGTCGAGTGAACAGTGTGATGCTAACAGCCGATCGGCCTACAAGGTGATGTCATAGTTCCCCCACTCTATTCAGGGCTCTACAGTGGGACCATTTCAGTCACAGTCGCACGCAGTAGCGAATGCGACTGTGACTGAAATGGTCCCACTGTAGAGCCCTGAATAGAGTGGGGGAACTATGACATCACCTTGTAGGCCGATCGGCTGTTAGCATCACACTGTTCACTCGACAAAAAGCCAATAGGATTTTTCCATAGGCTTTTGGATTATTGCAAAAAATAAGCTCTGTGTTCAATCATAGTTCAAGAAACTTACAGGCTTTTTTCCCATCAAGATAATCTGCACTGAAACCGCGCCTTCTTTCTTTGCGTGCACATTTGGGCAGCATTATGCTAATATTTCCACATAGTGAGGTAGATATGTGGGGGCGTGTTAGAACGAGCCGTTTTAGGGGGGTGTGGCAGAGTCTTAACTTTGATAAAGAATATCTCTTTGGATTTGAGACTTTAGTCTTTACAATTTCAGGGATCTTATCTATGCACAATCAGCTTGTAACACTCCAAAGAGAAAGGAAAACTTGAAATCGCATCATATGACCCCTTTAATTTGCTCCTAGAAGATGCTGTAAGTAAGTAAGTGAGTAACAGTCACCTCTGGCTGTTTAAAGGATATTTTTTGATTGTAACCTTGAAACATGCATTTTCTAAAGCTGCTTTGATTGTGAAAAGCACTGTACTCTTACTAGAGTTAATCATGTTTTTACTATGGTAAAACTAGTAAACATGACTGTAGTAATCAGTTATTTTTTTCTCAAACTAAGGTTTTGATATCATGGTTCTACTATAGTAATATTTTAGTAATGCTGGTGTAAAACTGTGGTAAGCATAGTTTTAGAAACCATGGTAAAATTTGTAGTTACTATAGTTTACTGCTATGCTGTAGTAAGACCATGGTTATGGTAGTTACTGTGGATTTACTACAACAATCATAGTTAAACAATGGTTGGCTATTGTACTGTAGTAACACCATGGTTGATTTTGTGGTTGACTTTTGTACGAAAACTGAATGCTTCTATTTGAAAGTCACATTGGATTAAACCATCTGATAAATATACTGTAAATGCATTTGTATATTTAATCTGTTCACTGAAAATAAATTTACAATTGTGATTGTACATTGTTTTTGATCCATTATTGTGTGCAAGGACATTTTGGTTAGCGTACTCGAACTGAGTATGAACCATGGACCAACCGTGGACCGCCAGCAAACAGTAATTATAAACCAGCAGCTCGTCAGCGGACTGCTGTCAGAAAAGCGGCGGCGGCCGCTGGTGGTCCACTGGAATAACGATGAGCAAAACACCGGTGGGCCGCCGACTTTGTCACCGGTGGGCCACTGGTCTTATGTTAGCCAGCTTAGTAACGGTTCAAGTGAAACTTTAACGATGCATAAAGTTTCACTTTAACCGTTACTAAGCCGGTAAATGTGGTGTTTACATGGACATGAGTCTCCGTATCAGTAGGAAAGCGATAAAACGAGCATCTTACATCCGAAGACTTGTGTTGCATTTCGGGGCAAAGCAAAAAACCATTGTCGAACAACAATATAAATATAAAAATATTAATTGATTATTCTACAATTAATTGTACTATAAATTATACTACAATTGGAAAATACAGTAAATTGATTAAACTGTTCAGCGTTATGAAGTTTAATGTCTCCAACAGAGCCTGTAGTCCCATTTAGCAAACTTGTTAGCAACCGTCTTTCTTAATAAACGTAACAGTTTTGAAAAATCATGAGTGGGGTGTAACTGGTGTGTTTTATGTCGTAGAATAAAACATGGAAGTATCTTGAGCTTGTGTGAACCACGGACCTTATTTTAGGGGATTTAACAAAACTCCCATTCAAACAAAACGAGACGATGGAACCGGAAGTGCTAAAATGCTAACTCACTTCTGGGTTTTTGCCTACAAAGTGACATCATAGTTCCACCACTCTATAGACGGTTTCAACGGTAACAACATAAACAAACGTTACTGCGCATGCGCGGTTTTGTGGCCCTAACTTAACTTCCGGTAGACTTCCACAAACAATCAATAACAACAACAGCAAAGTCCCTCTAGAGTAGATTATTTCTAATAATAAGCTAAATAAATAAGTAAATCAGCTAGCAAGTCAAAACTATGTCTTGTCATTATTATTTTGGGTTACCAGTAGAAGAAAAGAACCGTTATTTGGCCAAACTTAAATGCGACAAAGTTACACTACCAGAGCCCTTCAACAAAATGTTGAGGCAAGAATGTTTTTCTACAGACCTGTCTGATTTACCGGAGGTCAGTCAGGTACACATCTTTGAATACCTAGTCGAGAAGGAATGTGTATATACAAGGGAGGCAAAGTTAAACGCATTCTAACCTACACAAATGGAAATACCTGTGTTGTTTACGGGGAAATCGAGGCAGGTCAGACGCTTTCAAAGAGCTACTCCACCTGGATCATTGCGAGGAAGTCCGGCGAAGTCCAGAGTGGGCATTGTACCTGCATGGCAGGGTAAGTATGGCTGGCTATACTATACAATACAGCTAACGTTACATTTTACAGTAGCATTTAGATAACCTTTTTCAATAAAATGT